ATTTTCAATCTCTTTATTTAGAATATACTAGGTATCAAAGTGGGTAGATCAGATCTTGTTCAATTCATCTTTTAGCTCTTGCATGAAAGTTATTCGGTCCACCTTCTCATTTTGTATTTTACGATGCTCATTCTGTACCCCTTATGATTGCTTGTTGTTCGATGCATACTCCTCAAATTTGCAAGATGTTCTCTTTTCACTTTTTTCATGATATTAATGTCTTTTTGTGTGGTTTCGTTCCATTCCTTTTTTTTTTCCTTGTGTTTGCGAGATTGATCATTCCATGCATACGACTCTTGTCTTGCAGAGGAATTTGGTCTAGGGGAGTACCTATTTTATATTGTTTATTTTGCACTTGTTATTTTATTTGTGAATACCAACTAAGGAGGACAACTAGTTGTGTATTGTCATGCTATATCTAAAAATTCTTAAGCATAGAGTAAGGTATTTCTTACATAAGTTATATATTTGTACTTGCATAATGTTAATATGAATATGCACTATGTTTATTTTGGTGATTTTCATACCTATGGTTATGTTATGTCTTGCATACATATTTTACAAGGTATTGGTTTAGTGGTGATATATAGGACTATGATCTTCAAAGCTCTATCTAGAAGACAATTTTTGTATTTTGAGATTAGGGACTTATATACCAGGGTTGAGACTTATATACAATTGTTTTGTTCAATGGTTTGTAGGTTGTAATCGTAATTTCTTGTATATTTTGTCACGAAATTTTCAAAGGGACAGATTGTTAGATCATATTTTATAATTGGTTAATTTTGTGAAATCCTTGTAAATTTCAACCTATTTTATGGTTATGATATCATAACGATGAAGATTTGAAAGTGTTGCTTGAAGGGAGGAGATTATGCACTAAAGCTACNGGTTATGATATCATAACGATGAAGATTTGAAAGTGTTGCTTGAAGGGAGGAGATTATGCACTAAAGCTATATCAAAAGCACTATGTATGCACCTTCTTACTTAGGACAAAGTAATGTTCTAGAGACCTAAGATGATCTCTTGGTTTAATAGACTTAGAAGGATTAGTGTGAAAATGGAATCGATATTTGATTCGAATATAGCCCCTAGGTGTTCTTCAAAAAAAAATGTTTTTCTAAATTTTTTGTTTATTGTGAAAACATTGAGTGATCACCAGACCCTTCTTGAGTAATGAATGCCCTTTAGTGATCAAATGGAAAAGTTTTTTTTGCTTGGTTTTAGACTTGAAAAATAATAGGGACTGTCCTACGTTCGCTAGCCTTTGTCAGAGCGATCTCTTCATGATTTAGGAAAAAAATGAAAAAAAGCTAAATGAGGGAGCAACAGGGGTTGTCCTCTGGGTCACTCAAGCGGTCTTGCTCTCCTAAGCCAATTTGGAATCTGTTTTTCATTTTAGTGACCACAGCCCTATGATCGCCCTTCCACTGCTTGAGCTGTCGTTCGTGAATTTTCTTAATCGCCAAGATTATTTTTCTTTCAAACCTATAAATAGGGAAAGTATTTCCTACACCTAAGGTAAGCCTCTTGTGAGTATTTTAAGAAAGAAAATATATCTTACACATTAAGAGCTTGAACCACAACCCTAGACCCTTAAAGGCTAAATTTTTTTGATTCCCATCCAATCTCACAACTTGGAGAAGAACTTACTTCATTGAAGACCAAACCCATTGGAAGTGTACATATCGAGGATCTTAGCAGAGAAGATCGTTCAAGACCTATAGGTTCCATTATGGTGGAGAAAACAAGTGAAGCTATTTAAGACATTAGTTGGTGTATCCGGTGGAGAAACTTATTAAAGAAAAATGAGCATCTAACCATGGTATTGGTCGAGGTATAAAACTCGAATACTTGTAAGCTGACTTTGGTGAGCCTTGAGTGATTTCTTACGATTTTTTTTTAGAAAGGTTTTGTGTCAACAAATTGCTTGTATTTTTTTTATTGTTTTTACATATATACTTGTAATTTAAGCATACAGGCATATTATGTGTTTGGCAAGATAGAACCCACTTGGGCTTATTTGGCAGAAGAGTGGGGAATTATTTGCTTATATGACAAGTTATTGATTAATTTTTGTGAGATCCATCAGCTTATTTATTTTAGTATTGTTGGTTGGTGATACCACATCACCTTGCCATGTAGTATCACCGTTGTAATGAATATTTTCTCGTTAACAAGAGAGAGAGTGCTGACAAAGAGAAGAGAGAGGCGGATGGGCGATCAAGTTTCAGTAGGATTGAGGGCAATTTTGTCATTTTAAAATAGATTTTTTGTATCAACTCTCACCACAAGAGCTTACGGGTAGTTAAATTGGAATGAAAATGTAACGGTGCATTTTGGTCCATAAAGCAGGATAATGTCCTCAAGGAGGATAATGTCCAAATGAGGTAAACCACAAAGGAACAAAACGAAGTTTGCGCTAAAATAATTGGTCCTTCAAGTGTGTACTTTGTATTATTATTCAATCTTTCAACTCTCTGACTTTTAAGTCCTCAAGTTTTCAACTTGTATCACTTCAATGAAAATCAATGGTTTAAATTGACTAAAGGAGGGGATCACATGGACCTATTGTGACAAATTGCAATGTTAAGGGATCAAAGGGTAACATAAATTACAAACTTCAAGGAAGGTGACACCTGAAGTGTGGTACGTGAGACGCACGTGAGTACATTTGTTGGTTTATTTAAACTCTTATTTTCATTTGGATCCAACCAACACAATTGAAAACTATAAGAACTAAACTGACAAATCACAAAAATAAAAACAAAAGTGAGACAATACACATTTGAAGGACTATTATCGTAGTTTACCCAATTATTTGATGATGTTTTCTAGCATTCTAAATTGTGTACAAGTGCTGGGCGTCAATCCCACTCTTCATTTATCATTTTCAAGTGATCATCTTAGAAATTGAACCACTAGAGTATGACCTAAATGAGAGAAAGTGGCAAGTCAGAAAGGAGATTGTTGATATCATGTTATAGTCTGACGTATTCTTTTCTGGATTACTTTCCTAATCAGCAGAGACCGAGAACCCGGGAGACCAAAGCACGGAATATGCTATTAAAATATGTTGTACTGTACTTCAAAGAGCACACTGCACACATCTCTCATTACAATCTCATTTTCTATTAAGTGCAGGCATGAAGAGGGGACGACAAGAAGGGACTGGGTTCCACAAAGTACATGAAAATTCATGATGGAAACAAATATTTCTTGCACATAATTATCTTTGATTACATTTTAATATTTCCATTTGCCAATATGTAACGAACGAAAAGGACAATCCTTCATCCAGTCAACAAACAAGGCACATATTGGCCTTCTTTCCTCAATGTTAAAATCTAAATAAAAAGACCAGCAATCTGTCTGTTCCATTTTCCATCTTAATCTACAAGCAGAAAACGACGTTCTGTGTCTCCCAGAACAATGTATATACAAATACAAAATGAAGAAAGATGTTGCTCCCACCTAGTCTAAATAAAAAAGGGTAACAATCTTCCTGAGGTTCTTTGCTTCTTGACATGTTTCCATAAGCAATTTGCTATCATGGAAAGCAAAGCAAATAACTTGTTGTACTTGTGAGATGATGTCCATGTTACATAGCCTGCAGTTTCATCAATCACACGAAACATAGAATCGTCTCAAATCAAGGAAGATGTAAAATGATTAGACACTATCAGTCCTAAATTCAATGGGTAGCACAGGTTGGTCCAAATCAGGATCAAATCTGTTTAGAATTTCTCCCGCTACCAGATATTTTTTATATGACGGCAATCTATTAGTATGCCTATATGCTAGGAAGGACGGACACTTCGTCAGGGGTGCCATGACAGTGTCGGACAAGTGACTGTTTAATTTTAATTTTAATTTTTTAAAATGACTGTGTGGTGTAATTTCTTTATTTTTTTTATATTTTTTGCTATGTAACTTATATACTATAAATGTTAATGAATATACTAATGTTTGATGCAAATAGTGAATATTTATTTTGTATTTTAAATATTTGTTAGGTCTTATTATTAATATTATTATAAAATATGCTTTGTTTTTGATATATTATAATTCTGTTATTTTCTAAAAAAAAATATTATTATTATTATAATTAACCGTATCCTTACTGTATCCGTATCCAATACTTTCAAACATTGTCGTATCCCATGTCCATTTCATATCAGATACAACATCTGTATTCTAGTGCAATTTTATGTAAATCCAGAAAGAGACATGCAGCAAAAGAAATTAAATCAGACAATGAAAAAACAGCAAGGAAATAAAGAAAAGCAGCATGTGGTAGGCTGGCTTACAAACCTGCTGGCTTCTATCAATGGAAGACGATCATTGTGAGGCTTCTCTATTACGTTCTTTACCTGCAAATCCAAGAAAGACTACGCGTTATTGTACCTCAAAACACCTTCGGAACTATTATAACCATGAAAAAGTTGGCACTTTTGTTTTTTCTGGCTTTGTACCTTATCCACAATAATTATTTTCAATTTTTCTCTACTGCCGTTACCAGGATTCCTAATCTAAGGAATTGCTAATAGGCATCAGGCTTGTGAGTCAGTCACTTAATTCCATCCTAATAAGTAACCAAATAAAATCCACCCCATACAAAATAGGATAATGTTTCCGAGCATTCCAACCTTCCAAAAGGGCAAAGATCCACCAGCATGGAAAGTCCTTCTTGGCGACTCATCTGGCATTGTTAATTTCTAAGTGAATGGGAAAGAATAGCCATCTAATAACCATATGTCAAACACGTTATCTGCTAACCCTGTCTCTTTGCCAAGAATATCGAATTCAATTTTTGTCTGAAGAGTTAAACCTGCTCCTCAATATATAATAAAAAAATTAGTTGTTAACACTTAATACTACTTGATGTCATGAAGAGTCAACTTTGGGTGCATCTTAACGGTAATTTCAAACAGATGGTTTAAAATACTCAAACTAGGATAAATTTTGTTTTACATCAGTTTCTCAGTAAGTGAAACGTAGCTGTCAGTTTCTAATCAATATCATGGAGCACATGACCAGCCATGGTCGCTAAGAGCCTTTGCCTTGTATTCAAGGTTCCATCTTAGGATGTTTTTTCAAAAAAATTGACCACAAAACCATACTGCTCTGGGTAAAAAAGAAAATGAGGTAAGAGAGGAATGTAAGAAAACAACACATATAGGGTTACTGCTGTCTCCAAGCATTCTTGGTTGTGTTATGTTCTGCACAAATTCTTACTCCAGGTGTCAATAAGTTGTCTCCTCATGCTGTTGACACTATCATATGGTAATAAGTTACCAGTGAGAGGCATGATGGCATTTCTTTTTGTATTTTTTTGCTATGATAGAGTAGAGAGAGGGCTATAACTCATTTGTTGATGTTCCCTTAAAGTGAGAGGCATGACACGCTATCAGAGCTTTCATTCCCTCACGGAAAGGCAAAGAAACAAACAAAACCCCGATGAGATCAAATGGATGAGAATACGAGAAGGGATGATAGGAACGTAAGAGAGCGAGGACTAACGAGGCATCTCCTCCATATGAGTTATTGCCCAGAGGGTAATGACACTATTAACAGATACGACGAAATACATTTGACATCAATTGAACATCATCAGTTGCTTGCTTCAGCAAATTGTGTATATTTTCGTCAAATACCCTTCCCAAGCACCTAAAAGTATTGCTTAATAAATCATTTCCTATGAAGCCCAAAAGCATATCTATAAAAGCACAGCGAAGGCTCCACTTACAAATAAATGTCAAATAAAGATAACATGAGCAATAATCAGTTCTCCTAATGTGGAAAGTTCAATCGGAAAATAGCTTCAGTGACATTTTTTGCACTACCTGGAACACAAATCAAAAGAACAAAGTAATCACATTCTTACTTTAGATAGCAACTCCTGGCTCTCTGGAGGCTGCATTTTCAGACTTTGCGGCAATATTACAGTGAGCAGCTCTTGCCTCTCGGCTCTTAGGGCACCTCTAATAACAGCTGCATTAGTTCCCGATGCTCCCGATGTAAAAATGTGGTTTTTCTGCAAATAAAAAAATAACTTTCAGCCCATTAAGATCTATAAAAATATGATGTATAACATACCGTAGCCACCCAGCCACCGTCTGTCTAATAGGTACTCACAGTTCTATGAGGAAAAGCAGAACAAAGTAAAGCTACAGCTTTTATACCGTTATAACCATTGCATAGCTAAGAATCTCAATTAGTTCTTGATGCATGAAGCCCATATTTCGGGTCCCAAAAAAACCAATAGCTCTTGGACCCTGTTGCTGAATTGCTAGTAACTCCTGCAAAAAGGAATCGTAACAAATATGATCTATGAACACAAATACATATATTCACTTGTTAAAAAAAAAAAACGATGACCATAGTAATTAATTTAAGAAGAGGTTTTAAAGGGAGCTTGCATCGGCATTTAATGCAACAACTTTCACATAAGAGCCCCCCATGGCAGAGCACAGAACCAACAATTATCTATATATATGTAATGACTTATTAGTTAAAAACTTGCCCTCCTACTTTTGCCCAAATAACCTGTTCAAAAACTTAAAACAATTATACAACACAATTTTTTTTCTCTTTTTGATATGAGAATTTTGTTAAGGACAAGAATTGAGAAATAAAGTACACTATCGCGGACAAGATATCCTCAAATAAGAATACAAATTAAGTGAAACACAAAAAAGAAAACTACGAAAAAAAAAAAATTTGTCTTCCAGTTTCGTTGAAAATCCATCACAAGCACCCCTCTTAAAATGCCAATCTAACCCTATCGTACTGATATATTCATGTAGTTTCTTCATGATCATCAGCTAGTGGGTCTCAGTCTTTCATTTGTGTTAAGAATAATAGGGTAGTATGTGTAAATTGTTAATAGTAAGAGGGTGTATGTGTAATTATTATTATTGTAGGTTAACTATAAAAACAAGTGATGTATGAGAGCTAGGTTAAGTTTTAACCTCTCTCTTTCTCTCTAATATTGTGTTATGTTAATTCACTCAACTTAACATGGTATCAGAGCCAAAACAATTTTAAATCTAAATATTAAATCAAGGGTTCTTTGTTGTCGTTGTTATGCCTATTATCGTCATTGTCCATGGTTGAGTGTAACGAGGAGATTGATGTTGGTGGTGTCTCGTTCAAGCACTGCGGAGTGGTTGTCTAGTAGTGGTGGTGGCAGTCGCAGTCGACTGGTGGCTGTGGTGGTAGTCGAATTGGTTTAGGTGTGTCGTTTGTGTTGTGTGGCTGCGTGGTGGTGCTGTGTGGCTGCGTGATGGTGCTGCTGGATACCAGGTGCAGTTAATAGTGAGGAGCATTAGGGTTTGCTTGGGAAGAAGACAACCTCCTGGGTCGGGTTTGGGTGGCTGAGTCCAGATCTAAGCCCAGATCTAGTTTTAAAAAAAAAAAATCCAGAACAACCTGGTCCAAAACCGGTTCAACCCGGTTCAGTCTAGGTGGTTCAGTCCCAGTTTAACCCGGTTCAATAAGATTTACATTGGTTCAGTCCCAGTTCAACAGTCCAGTGGCCATTCCTTGGCCGGTTCAGCAATCCAGTGGCCATTCCTTGGCCGGTTCAGCAGTCCAATGGCCATTCCTTGGCCGGTTCAGCTATCCAGTGGCCATTTCTTGGCCGATTCAGTAGTCCAGTGGCCAAATTCAATCCGATTCAGTCTTCCAAAGAGCTTAGCTTGACCGATTCAATGATCCGGCCCTTCTTTTCAGTCCGGTTCAGTCTTCCAACTTTGTTTTTTTCTCTAGTTTAGCATTGTCACACTTCTTGTTTGCTATTTGCTACACTATTATGGAACTCAAACAAGATACCTGATCCCTTACTCCATCTTTGTCTCCTCCGACTCTTATCAATGGTCCCATGACCTCTGTCAAATTTAATGGGATTAATTACACTTTATAGTCCCGATCTGTTCAAGTTTTTCTTTGAGACAAAAGATTTAAGAAATATCTGGTGGGTTCTAAACCAAAAGAAGACACTCCTGGGTATGATCAGCGGGAACAAGAGGATACTCAGATTATTTCTTTATTGTTGAATAGCATAAAGCCCAATATTAGTTCTTCTCTGCTCTATCCTGATACTACCAAAGAGATATAGGATCACTTGACCACTATGTATTCTGGTATAGGTAATTTTACCCATGCGTATGAGGTGTGCAAGGAGTACTTCCGGTTGGAGCAGGGTACTCTGAGCCTTGCGGATTATTACTCTCATGTTCGGGGAGTTTGTGAGGAGATGAAGACTTATCATCCGTTTACTACTGATGCAGCAGTTTCGCAAAAGCAACATGAGGACCTGAATGTTGTTAGATTTTTGGTAAGATTGAAACCTGAAAATGAGGCTATTCGTTCTCAGACTTTGGGTGGATCTAGTCTTCCATCACTGCTGGAGGTTTTCTCTCGTTTATAGCGTGCTACAGTGTCTACTCCTTCAGTCATTGATCATGGTGTCTCCACTGATCGCTCAGCTCTTGTAGTTCCTAATAGCCATAGTGATGATCATCGAGGTGACCGTGGTAGTCACAGAGGTCGTACGGGTGGTCGTGGAGATCGTAGTGGATCTCGTTCCTGTACTCACTGTGGCCGTGGAGGACACACTGTTGATTTCTGTTAGAATTTACATGAAAAACCTTCTGGTACTGCTAATTAGGCTTCTTATCAGGATAACACCTCTGTTGTTACTGCCATATCTCGATCAGCTCCACTAGACACTGGGTCGATTACTATTACACTGGATCGAGAGGAGTATGCTCAGTTCCTATCCCAGCAACAGGCTGTTTCATCTCCCTCCACTGCTACTTTTGCCCAGTCAGGTACTGCTTCCACCTGTTTATTGTCCTCCACTCGTAGTCCTTGGATCATAGACTTTAGCGCCTCTGACCACATGATTGGTGCATCTGATGTTTTCTCTACTTATCAGTCTGCTACTTTCACACGTAGTATTACTCTTGCTAGTGGTATTTGTTCTAAAGTTTCAAGTCTGGGGACTACTCACTTGAGTCCTGATATGTCCCCATCTTCCGTGTTATTTGTTCATCAATTTCCTTTTAATTTACTTTCCATTAGCAAGATTACTCATTCTTTCAATTATTCTGTAACTTTTTATCCCTCTTATTGTGTCTTTCAGGATCTCAAGACGAAGAGGAAGATTGGTACAGGGCATGAACCTAGTGGCCAATATTACCTTGACTTTGATTCACCTACCCGAGCTCTACAGACCTCGTTGTCTCCTTTTTAATGGCATTGTCGTCTTGGACTTCCCTCTCTCCAAAATCTGAAGCGCCAAGTTCTCAATCTTAGTTTTGTGTCTTCTTTGTCTTGTAAAGCTTGTCAACTTAGTAAACATCACCGTGTCATTTCAGTCTAGAGTCAATAATCGTGTGTCTAGTCCATTTGAATTAGTCCATTCTGATGTATAGGGTCCAATAAATAATATTTCATCTAATAAATATCCTTATTTTATGACATTTGTGGATGACTATTCTCATGTGACTTGATTATTTTTTATGAAAGTTTGGTCTAAATTATTCTCTATATTTGAGACTTTTCGTAAAGAAATAAAAACTCAGTTTGGTTGTCGTATACGTACTTTACGTTCCGATAATGCTCGGAAATATGAATCTGATCCTTTTTCAACTTATTTTAGTAAAACTGGCATTATTCATCAGACTTCTTGTGCTTATACCTCTCCACAAAATGGTGTTGCTGAACGCAAGAACCGCCATTTGTTGGAAGTCACCCGTACCCTGTTATTCCAGATGAATGTTCCCCGATATTATTGGAATGATGTTGTTCTTACTGCTTGTCATCTTATTAATCGTATGCCCTCCTCTGTGTTAAATGGACAAAGTCCATATTCTGTCATTTTTCTTGGTAAGCCGTTATTTTTCCTGACTTCTAAAGTTTTTGGTTGTGTCTGTTATGTTCACAATTTGGGTCCTGAATTTGATAAACTTGACTCTCAAGCTACCAAATGTGTATTTCTTAGTTACTCCCGCACGCAAAAGGGATATCGTTGCTACAGTCCTTCTTTGCACCGATACTTTACTAGTGCGGATGTCACATTTGAAGAATTTGTTCTATACTTTCCAACACCATCTCAGCCTTTGGATCTGGACTTTAGCTCCTCTCCTGTACCACCATCTCTTTCCTTATCTTCAGATATTCCGCCACCCACTGTGTTACCTTCTACTTTACCTCTCCGGGTCTACTCTCGCCGTACTCGCCCATCGACTGAGATGCCCGTACCGTCTTCCTTGTCGCCTTCTGATCCTGGAATATCAGGTAATTTAGATTATTTACCTATTGCTCTTCGCAAAGGAACTTGTTCGTGTGTTACTAATCATCCCATTTCTTATTTTGTTTCATATGATGCCTTGTCTCCTGTCTTCTCCTGTTTTACTTCCCAATTATCTGCTATATCTATTCCTAAGTATTTACAGGATGTATTATCTGATCCAATTTGGAGGAAAGCTATGGAGGAGGAGATGGATGTTTTATATCATAATGGGACTTGGGATCTCGTTCCCTTACTCTCTGGTAAACGAACTATTGATTGTCGTTGGGTGTATACTGTTAAATTTCATTCATATGGTTTTGTGGAGCGTCTCAAAGCCCGACTTGTTGCAAAGAACTTTACTCAGACTTATGGTGTTGATTATGAGGAGACTTTTTCTCCTGTTGCCAAAATTTTCTCTGTTCGTATCTTAATTTTTTTGACTGCTAATCTTGATTGGCCCTTGTTTCAGTTAGATGTCAAGAATGTCTTCTTACATGGTGATTTGGTTGAAGAGGTCTACATGGAGCAGCCACCAGGATTTACTGCTCAGGGGGAGTATGGTAAGAGTGTATGTCGATTCAAAAAAATCTTTGTACAGTTTAAAGTAGTCACCGAGGACATGGTTTGGTAAGTTTTCACATGCAGTTTTAAAATTTGGTCTTCTTCGATGTCAGACAGATCATTCTGTGTTTCATAGGCAGACAGATGCTGGGTATGTCCTATTGGTGGTCTATGTAAATGATATTGTGATTATTGAAAATGATTCTGAGAGGATTGTCAAGTTACAAATTTTCTTACAGGATCGATTTCATACTAAGGATTTGAAAAAACTCAGGTATTTCTTGGGTATTAAGGTGGCTCGATCTAAACAGGATATTTGTTTATCTCAGAGAAAATATGTATTTGACATGCTTGAGGAAGCAGGTTTGCTGGGTGGTAGACCGATTGATGTTCCTATGGATCTGAATCAAAAATTATTGATGGATGATATATTGTTTTAGAATCCGGGTCGATATCGCAGATTGGTTGAGAAGCTTAATTATCTCAATATTACTCGACCGAATATTTTCTATGCAGTCAGTATAATAAGTCAGTTCATGGGATGTCCTAAAGTACCACATTGGGAGGCAGTTACTCGTATTCTACGATATCTCAAACGAGCTCTTGGACTTAGACTGTTATATCGAGGTAATGGACATCTTAGAGTGGAAGGTTTTTCAGATGCTGATTGGGCTGACTTTCCTTCTGATCGGAGATCAACCACTGGTTATTGTACTTTCTTAGGAGGTAATGTTATCTCCTGAAAAAGTAAGAAACAACCCGTAGTAGCAAGATCCACGGCTGAAGCTAAGTATAGGGCAATGGCACATACGACAAGTGAGTTGACTTGGCTACTACACTTCCTCCAAGAAATTAGGTTTCCAGTTCAACTTCCTTTACAGTTGTTCTATGACAACCGAGCAGCTATCCATATCGCTGTCAATCCTGTGTTTCATGAGAGAACCAAACATATTGAGGTTGACTGTCACTTTATTCGGGACAAGATCGTAACTGGGGAGATTACAACTCCATTTGTGAAATCTAAAGATTAACTTGCAAATATGCTTACCAAAGTATTGAGTCGTACACGTCTTACAGCTATTTGTTCCAAACTTGGATTATATGATATATATAGTCCAACTTGAGGGGGAGTGTTAAAAATAATAGGGTAATATGTATAAATTGTTAATAGTACGAGGGTGTATGTGTAATTATTATTACTGTAGGTTAACTATAAATACAAGTGATGTATGAGGGCTAGGTTAAGTTTTAACCTCTCTCTTTCTCTCTAATATTGTGTTATGTTAATTCACTCAACTTAACAATTTGCAACACATTGTTCAAAACATAGGTTGTAAAAGAGGCTTAGGTATTCAACTATGAAGCACTGATACTTCATTTAGGTCAAAGTATCCGGATATGGTCAGATACTCGAGGATGTATATTGGATACTCACTATAAATATCCAACAATTAATAATGTTAGGAAATAAGATGTGTTGTCAAAATTCTGTGAGGGCACAATGTAATGTATCAACCAAATCCAATTGTCAGGATGCTTATGAAGATGAAGACAATAGTCGAATGAGAATAAGAAATTCAAGCTTCATTGCTACATTCCGAAGTCTTCTTGGAATCTATATCCTTAGGCGAGGTAAGGGACTTTAGATATCTCAATGAGCCGAGAATGGTTTAGATTTAGGTTCAAAATTGGATTTAGGAAGTTTTGTTAAATCTGTAGCACGAGTCTCGAACTATTATTTGAAAACGTTTTTAAAGCTCCAAAATAAGTTTTTGAAATACTGTAAGAGTCATGGTATGGAACATTATTGAGTAACAAACACCCCTTAATACTCAAAATGTGAAGTAGAGCATTGGTTTTGTTCAAAGAAATCAATGAACACCGCCTCTTAGTACTTAGGTGGTTCAAAAAATTGAAGAAAGCAAAATTCTCAATCCAAGACAAGCGCTCGCCTAGCACTTGAGCGTTCAAGTTAGTGGGCATTAGATAGTTTCGATTCTAGAGGGCACACCCCGTTAAGCACTCTCCCAATGCTTTAGCAATCTTTCAGAATTTTATAGATTTTAGTTTTTTATATAAATTCACACCTATATATTTGGGACGGTCTTTGATGACCATAAGAGTTTTAAAAGAGCTAAAAATTCTAAGAAAACATAAAAAAGAAGAACCCTAGCCTTCCCAACTCAAAAGGCACAAATGAACTTGGTTAATCTAGAGCTTTTCATTGTTGATTCGTGGAATAAAAGAGAAACCCTATAGAACCAACTAAACCTTCAGAGATCAAAGATAATTGGTGGATTCCACAGGTTGAAGAAGGAATCCTTGGCGGATTGTGAATTTGGTTCGTGGAGTGCTTGTGACGCCTCTAAAACCGGGGATCATTTATTAACCGTTGATCATCCGTCAACCCGCAAAAATACCCATAATTGTCGCACAACTAGGCGACAAGTCAATAACATTCTCTTAATCAGAATTATAACCCACATGTTTAACTCGTGTATGTTTTACCATTTGGCCCAATCGAGGTCCACTATGCTATAATTTATACTCATTTGATGTCCATTTATAACCTTAGAACCAAAGAACACATAACTCAAAAGCATGGTAATGCATTCATACAATTTCAGATTTTTGATAAAGCTACCGGTAGGCTTTTATGGTAGGGACCTACCGGTAGGTTTTGTTCACCAGAAAAGTTCTACCGGTAGGTTTGACCTACTGGAAAAGTTCTACCAACAAACTACCGGTAGGTTTGACCTACTAGAAATGTTCTACCGGTAAACTACCAATAGGTTTTGTCTGTGACAACACCTATCCATACAAGATCTATCGGTAGGTTTTTATGGACCTACTGGTAGGTTTTGCCCAAAATGTCTGTTTTACCTGTTTTTTATTTTTCAATCTATTCCAACACGATCCAAAACATGCTTAATAAGGTTTTTCACATAAAACCTAATATATACAAGGTCTATTACAATCAATTTCATACGATTACAAGCCCAAAATATATTTTTCACCAAATTTATACAATGGTTTTACAAAAATGGACTCAAGGCCACAAGTCGACCTTTTCTTTATCTTGGAGGTCCCGAATGAGAGTCCCCCGTCGGTACAAAACCCACATCTAAAATGTGTTCCCGTATAGGGTGAGCCACGCTCAATAGAATAACTCCTAAAGAGGTTACTCCCCAACCTAGATGCATATGAAATGTCACATGCAACATTCAACAAGCATAATCCATTCCATACAAGAATGTCATTCAAGATGGAATTCTGTCATGTCATGTCATGCCATGAAATGAGATAAGACTCACTCATGCACCTTACCCTGAATCTTCACCGACTCCCGCAATACAATGCAATGCTAATGTGTAACAAATCTACCATTACACTTTTTTGGACTTACACCGTAGGAAATGTATAAAACTAGTAGCCGGGTCTTACACCCGAGGAAGAGTCTAGCCTTTCTTGCTATACCCGACACAAGTTTTTCATGCAACCCATGCGACTCTGTTGAATCTTGGTCCAATGGTACCGAACTCACTTATCATCTACCAAATATGGTGTTTGATCCAACATATGCATGCATGCCCACACCCATGATGATGCCCGTGAATGCGAAGTTCCCGTACAAATGCAATGTAATGCGTCATTGCAAGACTATCATCATGTTCAATATGTAATCAATGACATATGAACTATTTTCAAGACATATTATGGATCATTACATCCTAAGCATAAAAAGTCCATAATCTACAAATTGTCAATATATTTTAAGCATATATCGACACTTCATTCAACACAATTTTCAAACATGTTATCAATTAATCATACACTTAACACACTAAACTCATAAAAGCAATAATGTACACATATAACATGCCGATAAATCACATTTCCATGGAATTGCACAAACAACTACCACATCAATTCCAAGCTAGAAATTCATTTTAAACCATTTCTAATACCCATTTCTATCAATTTCACAAGAATTGGTAAGTGATATATAATTCTATCAACCTACCCATTACATATAACATCCTAAGTTAGAAAATAAAACTAAGTAGGAGGGAACCCTACCTCTTGAAACGTAAAACGAAAGGGAGAAAACTTCAAGACACCTCCCTAACCCCAAAAATCCTTGATTTCACAAAATCTTTTCCTTGGATCTTTAGTGAAACCCTTCGTTCTTGGTGCGTTGACGTAGCTCTCGTCGTGGTAACCAACTTTAATTCTTAGTCCAAGTGATTCCGACCGACGAAACTCCCTAAATCACAAAGAAAAAGGTAGAAATTTAGTTTTTCTTCTCTCCCTTCTCTTCTCCTTTTCAACTTGTGAAACCAGACAAGTGGGGAGAGGAAATATCTAAAAAATCAGATATTTAACCCCTATTTATACTTTTTAATTGCGCGGTCCACATCGCACCGCATGTTTCCTACTTCCGAATCCGTTTTTGTCCCGAAACAACTTAATTTTATTCCGATTTAAGTTTAATTTATTTTTATTGAAACTTTCTTTTAATTTTAAGAAAATTTTATAAATTTTATTTTTAGGGACCTTTGTGAGGTCCTTTGTCATCCAATTGTCTCGTAAAACGTAAAAATTTTGATTACCTCAGAATTCGACGAAAATTGACAGGACAGCTCAATTTTACGATACGAATTCAACGGTGAGGTCCATTGCGTCATCCGAGCTCTAGAAAAATACGGATTTTAATCCTGTATTATAATAACAAATTACCATTTTGACCTTTTTTAGAAAAAGTACAAATTTACCCCAGTTTCACAGAGCTAGTCATAAGTGTTCAAGAACTTCTNTTCCCTTGTCACCTATACTCATAAACAATCTCATTAGCAATAAGTGCCACATCTATAATTTGTCTCCACCTCACAAAAGCCCCTGACATTTTTGAGATCGTGTCACTCAAGCACTCCCTAATCCTAATAAAAAAAACTTTACCAATAATCCTATACAGACGGCCTAAAATCCTTCAATTCCATGGAATAAAATTTCTTTGGGATGAGACATATATATGTCGCATTTGTTACTCCATTGATCACCCCCTTATGAAAAACTCCTCGAAGACCCTTATCAAATCATCCTTGACCTTATCCCAGCAAATTTGATAAATAGTCATATNCTCTAATTAGCTACATTCACAATGTAGATACAACATGATGATATAACAAAGCACAAATGATACCTGTTTTGAATTGTTATTAAAGAATTTATAAAAAATATTATTTTCAAATATTAGGTTTTGCCTTATCGTATCGTATTGTACCGTATCACGTATGTGTATCCATGCTTCCTAGATATTCAAACACAAGATTCTCTTGAAATTTTTATTTAAGCCCAAAGAAATAGCTACAGAACTGTTCACTCAGCCAGCCATTGGTGATGCAAATAGTGGACCGGCAAGACAACATACCTGTAGATAATCCACATCAGGGACTGGTTTATACTCCGACAGCAAAACTGCTCCCGACCCTTCCACAACAGATTGGGCTTGGGTTGGAATCTGAGTGACTTCTTCATCAGACCCAAGCATCCNAGCCCAAAGAAATAGCTACAGAACTGTTCACTCAGCCAGCCATTGGTGATGCAAATAGTGGACCGGCAAGACAACATACCTGTAGATAATCCACATCAGGGACTGGTTTATACTCCGACACCAAAACTGCTCCCGACCCTTCCACAACAGATTGGGCTTGGGTTGGAATCTGAGTGACTTCTTCATCAGACCCAAGCATCTNATACACTTAACACACTAAACTCATAAAAGCAATAATGTACACATATAACATGCCGATAAATCACATTTCCATGGAATTGCACAAACAACTACCACATCAATTCCAAGCTAGAAATTCATTTTAAACCATTTCTAATACCCATTTCTATCAATTTCACAAGAATTGGTAAGTGATATATAATTCTATCAACCTACCCATTACATATAACATCCTAAGTTAGAAAATAAAACTAAGTAGGAGGGAACCCTACCTCTTGAAACGTAAAACGAAAGGGAGAAAACTTCAAGACATCTCCCTAACCCCAAAAATCCTTGATTTCACAAAATCTTTTCCTTGGATCTTTAGTGAAACCCTTCGTTCTTGGTACGTTGACGTAGCTCTCGTCGCGGTAACCAACTTTAATTCTTAGTCCAAGTGATTCCGACCGACGAAACTCCCTAGATCACAAAGAAAAAGGTAGAAATTTAGTTTTTCTTCTCTCCCTTCTCTTCTCCTTTTCAACTTGTGAAACCAGACAAGTGGGGAGAGGAAATATCTAAAAAATCAGATATTTAACCCCTATTTATACTTTTTAATTGCGTGGTCCACATCGCACCGCATGTTTCCTACTTCCGAATCCGTTTTTGTCCCGAAACAACTTAATTTTATTCCGATTTAAGTTTAATTTATTTTTATTGAAACTTCTTTTAATTTTAAGAAAATTTTATAAATTTTATTTTTAGGGACCTTTGTGAGGTCCTTTGTCATCCAATTGTCTTGTAAAACGTAAAAATTTTGATTACCTCAGAATTCGACGAAAATTGACAGGACAGCTCGATTTCACGATACGAATTCAACGGTGAGGTCCATTGCGTCATCCGAGCTCTAGAAAATACGAATTTTAATCCTGCATTATAATAGCAAATTACCATTTTGACCTTTTTCAGAAAAAGTACAAATTTACCCCAGTTTTATAGAGCTAGTCATAAGTGTTCAAGAACTTCCGATGAATTCCATAGTGAAGTGTCGAGACGAGAAAATATCTAACTTAAAGGAATTGGTTGAGGTACAAGTCTTTAAGTCTTGTAACCTACTTTGAAGCTTAGTGAATTAGTTTAGCTAGACTTGGGCCCCATGATTTTTTTATCCGGAAGAGTTTTTTTACCTAAAAATTGCTTGGGTTTTAGTCGTCGTTTGTTGTTGCTTTACTTTTCTTCACATGAAATTTTGGATCCTTTGGTTGGTTTGTTGTGCTTAATTGAGGGATTCACATATAGTTGAATGGGTCAATTTGAATTGGGCATTAATTTTTGTAGTGATTATGATAGACCTATTCAACCCCTTCTTGGCTATAAAATACGTCTGATTTCAACGTTGGGCTAGATTTGTGCACTCTGAATACATATCAAATACAAATATCCCATATTCGAAACATATATAGAAGTGGATTTGCAGAGCAATATGTATAAGTTATTCTCTATCATTTCTCCTCGAATTCACATCTAATAACATACATCAAAAAATCCACGTGATTATGAAGACAAGTGGTTTTTTAAGTAGTTTTTACTATCAAATATCAAAGAGACATAAAATAAGTTAATTACACTATACCATTTGGCAACAAGTATTTCTAAGCAAACCAACAAATTAAAGTTTGGTTCTAATTCCTCTAATTAGCTACATTCACAATGTAGATACAACATGATGATATAACAAAGCACAAATGATACCTGTTTTGAATTGTTATTAAAGAATTTATAAAAAATATTATTTTCAAATATTAGGTTTTGCCTTATCGTATCGTATTGTACCGTATCACGTATGTGTATCCATGCTTCCTAGATATTCAAACACAAGATTCTCTTGAAATTTTTATTTAAGCCCAAAGAAATAGCTACAGAACTGTTCACTCAGCCAGCCATTGGTGATGCAAATAGTGGACCGGCAAGACAACATACCTGTAGATAATCCACATCAGGGACTGGTTTATACTCCGACACCAAAACTGCTCCCGACCCTTCCACAACAGATTGGGCTTGGGTTGGAATCTGAGTGACTTCTTCATCAGACCCAAGCATCTGCATGTCATTCTGGTTTTCACTCCTGAAATCATCGATGTTTTGATCTCTTTTGACATTTCCACAAAGCCTCTATACCAGCACATAAAAAACAGAGGCCCCTGGTAGTAAATCATTAGTGAAAACCAACTGTGCAGATAAAACAGTTATAAAAAAATTGAACAGGATTTGCACGAAAACTGTTGGGTCCTTAAAACAGCAAAATTATGAATTTTCAACCAAGCCATTTGTTTTTGTTATCTATGTCAAAGAAGCTTAAATTGCCAACTTAAGGAAAAATTTCGGCTACTTAAGCTCGCATCTTAAAAAGCAGGAATAAACATGATATGGTAAAATTTTTTGTTTTGGTAAGACACATCAATTTTTAATTATCAGACAAGTCATTACAAAACCAAATCAAAGGTGGTCAAAGAGTCCAATACAATGACAGGGCATCTAAAACATCCATAAAATTAATCAAACTAAAGCCAAACAATACTTTCCAGCTTTTCTTAACACAAAAGAAAGAACTACATTCAAACTCCTTAGATGTTGAGGCCCAAAAAGAGCCCAAAAAATAAAGTCTATCCCATAATACCGTTCACACTTATCTTCAAAAATTCTCGCATTCGTTTCCATCCAAATCACCCACAATGCAACTAACAAGCACTATGCCAAATGGTTTTCCAATTTCTATTTCCCCAAAACCCCATCATCCAAACAATACATAGATGGCATGTCCCTTGGTGCAGCCCAAGAAAGGACCACAAGGTCAAAAAACTTATTCCATAAATCACGCATCAAAGAACAATGCAAAAATAACTGATCCCCACCCTCACCATTGCGATCGAAGACAATAATTAGGTATCCTCTTTTTAAGGTATTGGACTAGGACTAATCTTCTCCTGAGCAATTATCAATGCACAAACTAGAACTTTTATAGGCATGTTTGTCCTCCAAATCTTCAATGATAGATGGCAATAAAGGGTCATCAATTAAAAATTCAAAGAAAGATTTACAATGAAAAACACCTGTTAATGTGACATTATTAAGCATCAAAAGAAGAATCCTCAACTTCGAACATTCCATATCATTAAGGCTCCTACGAAAACCAAAATCCCACGAAATTGAATTAGAATATGACCAAATCATAGATCCCAGCCAAGTATCCTGATAACAAGGAACCACAATATAAGTGTGGAAATAGAGTAACAAAAGAAGACTCTTATCCTCCCAAAACTACACTCTTGTTCCATCTCCCACAATTAACTTAACTTTCTGAGAAAAGCAAGGTAACCCCTCATAAATGACCTTTCACAAACTCCAGAAAATACCTTTTCCACGTCATTAGAATCTCACTCATTAGCTAGTAACCCATACTTGCTCCTAATAATGGCATGCCATAGTGGATCTTGCTCCGAAAGGAACCTCAACGCCATTTCCAACCAAGGTTACATTACTTTTCATTAAATTCTCAATCAAAAGCCCTCCCTTATCTTTTGGCCTAATCACCACCTCTCAAACAATAGATCCTTCATTCACTCTCCCACCCCTCCCCAAAACAAATTCCTCATTAAACTTTCGATTTCCTTAGCCAACATAACATCCATTTTAAAAAGAAACATGAAATAGATCGGAATGCTAGATAAGACAAAGTAAATCAAAGTTAGTCTACACGTTTAGAAATAAAAGTTTTATTCCACCAATTCAATCTCCTTCCAACTTTCTCCACAATGGATTGCCAAGCAAGGGAAGTCCTAAGGGACTTTAGGGGCCAAACACCCTGTCTCCATAACCAACCTACCACCTTCTTGGGGCTAAAATTAATGCCCATGATAATAGCATTTTTCCATTTTAACCTTAAGTCCAAAGATTACACCAAACACATCAACAATCAACTTTAAGTTTCTTGATTTCTGCACTTCGCCCAAAGAAAAGAATATAGTATCATCAGCAAATTGCAAATGAGATACTATAATCATTTCCTGCCCTATCACAAATCTTTACACCAAATTACATCTCTCTACCTTTTCCATCAACCTATTCCACTCATCACCAAAGTGAACAAAAATGGTGATAGAGGATCGCCCGGTTTGAGCCACTTATATGCCTTAAATCTTCCCCCAAGTTTCCCATACATAATAACTGAGAAATTCATCGACTCCAAACAACCCCAATCCATATTGTCAAAAACTTTCTCAAAATCTATCTTCAACACAAAACCCTTCTTCCCTTGTCACCTATACTCATAAACAATCTCATTAGCAATAAGTGCCACATCTATAATTTGTCTCCACCTCACAAAAGCCCCTGACATTTTTGAGATCGTGTCACTCAAGCACTCCCTAATCCTAATAAAAAAAACTTTACCAATAATCTTATACAGACGGCCTAAAATCCTTCAATTCCATGGAATAAACTTTCTTTGGGATGAGACATATATATGTCGCATTTGTTACTCCATTGATCACCCCCTTATGAAAACTCCTCGAAGACCCTTATCAAATCATCCTTGACCTTATCCCAGCAAATTTGATAAATAGTCATAGTGCATCCCTTTGGGCCTAGAGTAATTTCTCTACTATACTCAAAAACAACTCCCCTTACTTCCTCCATCTCAAAAGGTCTCTCCATCATCCTGCTATCCTTTCATTACTCCACTCAAAACCCCTCACAGTAGGGTCTAGAACCATCATGAACTAAGTATTACTCAACCAAAAAACAAATAATCTTCCTCTCAATTATATCCTCATCCTCAATTATCAAACCATCATTATGCACCAATTTATCGATGAACTTCGTAACCCTATTACTATTCGCCACTCTATGAAAAAAAATTTGTACTGTTCTCACCTTCTTTTAGCCATTTCACCATTGATTTCTGTCTTTGAAGCTAATCTCTTCTTTAAAAACTACATTCTCAAATTTATTCATAAATTCTCTTCTTTCTCTTTTCAAACCATCATCCAAATCCTGTTCTACTTCATTCTTATTTATCATCAATCCTATCCAAAATGGNGAAGCTAATCTCTTCTTTAAAAACTACATTCTCAAATTTATTCATAAATTCTCTTCTCTCTCTTTTCAAACCATCATCCAAATCCTGTTCTACTTCATTCTTATTTATCATCAATCCTATCCAAAATGAACAGTTTCACTTCACAAACATCCTCAAACTCCTTTTTATTCCACACTTTTAATTTTTGTTTTATAAACTCAACCTTTTTCGTAAATCTAAACCCTTCCTAGCCTTGAACCCATCCCTGTTCCCACCACTCCCTAACATGGTTCAAAGTATTTTGGCCTATACCGATACGAGTTGGTCAATTTAGTACCTTCCGAGATGATAATATTACACAAAATGTGTAAACCTCAAGTCTCGCACAACTCTGCGGAGTTGTCCAAGTTTTATCTGAGTCGTCAAATTATCATCTTCGAATCGGTCGATATGGCTCCACGATGCCACTATATAACATGAATTACTCGTCATATTCAACATTTTCTTTTAGGTCGTATACCGATACCATGCCACTCAAAGCTCTCTGAGTTGATAGCTAATACCACAACCTTGAACTGTGCTCCCTAAACCTTACAGGAACACATAAGTATCGTATAACTAGCTAAATAGAAGTAATCTTAGAACTCTCAACAAATTTATTATTTTTATTATTTTCAAGGGATATTAAAGTTTTTGAAATTTAGGTTTTTGTCACACTTAAGTCGATGCACAGCAAATTGTCAATGCCTTAACTTCTTTCATAACCTCATGCAAATGACCATTACTTCTTTATTGTTTTACCAATTTTTTCATTTCTCTGTACTTCTTATTTATTTCACAAATTGAGACGTATATTCAGTAATGCCAAATTTGACAAACATGCCACTAAATACTTAAGGTTACTATGTCTCTATTGACATAAAGCAAACTTTTACATAGCTCGGAGAGCTTAAAATTAATAATTCATCCTTACACATTTGCAAACATAGGAAACACTTGAAAGCAAGAAAGATCATCTTGTCATTTGGGATGTGATGTCTCAATCTAAAATTAAGTGAGTTCTTGCATTAGAAACCTAAAAGCTACAAATATCTATTTACTTGGCATATGGTTTTAGATTCCCCATCAAGCATAATAGTTCATTGCATCTAGTGATCAAAAGCAAATAAGGGAGTCATGATAATGGGTTAGATTCTAGTGCGAGTGAGAGAGAGGTTGTTCTCTGCATCCTTAGAAATTCATTTCTCAACAATTGTTCCTTTTTTCACAAAACTTTAAGAAGGTTATTGATAATGGACAGAAGATTCTCTTTCCAAAGATGATTGGAGGTGGGGTGGGGGTGGGTCTTTGTTCGTATCCTTGTTTTTTGGTTTATATTAGTTTTCTAGATCTCATAACTCACACATTGCTAGTATGCTAACCTCAATTTCCTCCATCATTGGTTGGAACTTTAAATTCTTTAGAAACTTGAGAGATAAAAAAGTGGATGAATTAACCTCTCTTCTGTGTATTCTCGACAACATTGTTTTGAGACAAGATATCTTGGATAGAAGAAGATGGACCATTTCTTCTTCGGCCGAGTATTCTTGCTAATCTTTTTTTAATTGTTTGATCTATATGTCATCTCTTCCATTTTGATCATTCTTTGGTTTGGAAGAGAAGACACCTTTGAAGGTACATATTGTTTGCATGGTTGATTGCATATAAGAAACTAAATACAAGTGAATTGCTTCAAAAAGTGAGGTCGGCAATTCTCTTCAACCACAGTGGTGCATCCTTACTAAGAAAGAAGCGCGTGCATGGATCGTTGGTTCCTTCATATGCTTTTGTCTCGAAGTTGTGGAATATGTTCGTGTTGTCATTCGGATCCCTTGGGTGGTTCCAAGAAGCTGTGATTTGGTGCTTATGATGAATTTGGATGGCTTTATGAGTGAATTTTTTAGGAAAATGAGGTTCCTTGGGAAGTTATTTAGGCTAAAATCTCTTTCATAGCATCTCTTTGGGTGTCCACATCAAACCACTTTGAAGG